AACTAAAAGTACAGGTGCTCTAGCAGTACAAGGTACAAAACTCATGCCTAGCGAAGGAATAAACATAGAAGCCCAGAAAGAACACGAGAAAGTGAATACTAAAGAAACTCCAGAAAGTAGACAAAAAGATATAGAAGATTCAAAAATATGGTATATGCTATGGGATATACCAATAGAAGTTAAGACAGTAAGAATACAAAGATATCTGCATTTTTACGATCAGGTTCAATTCAGGCACTGGGAATCACTAGGATCAAAGAAAGCTGTCTTATTCAATATAATCTTTTGAAATGAGAGGAGAAAAGCCCTATTTACTAAAGCTTGGGCCATATACTTCGAAGAGGGGAAAATGCTAAAACTTTCTGAAGGAGCATTTGACAGAAGCATTTTAGATAAAAGAGGAAAATACAAAGCGATACTGAAAAATATCCCCAAAACAGCCCTAGAAACAATGCTGCTAAAACAGCTAAAACTAGTAAAAGCACAAGCAGTATACATCTCATATAACCACAACAAGAACCAAAGAAGCACAGCCTCAGTGTTCTTCAAGTCTAAGGAGGAACTTCTAGTAGCTTTCACAAAAAGAATGTATTACTACAATGCAAAGCTTGATTGGGTTTCACTAGATAATATAAAAGAAGATTTTAAAAATTGTATAGTAAGCAATAGAGGAGGTGCAACAACTTGTCCAACCAATCAGAAAGAGAGCAATATAGTGGAAAGGAAAGTAAACTTATACATCTCTACCAAGGCCAATGAAAACAAAACAAGTGGCAACTCGGTTCCACCTAGGCGTCCAGTAGACAAGGAAAACAGAAACAAAGAAAGCATAAAATCTGACTTCAGAAATAATAAGGAGAGTGCAGACAAGAAGCGACAAACTCATGAAGATTTAGTTCAAAGCATGCTGATACAAATCTTGGGAGACTAGAAAAACTAGAAGACCAAAGTAGTTCATCTAAGACAGCACACACAAGAGTAGCTCTTGCGGATCGCTCCTAAAGGCACCCCAGGCACAACAATAAACCCCTCTACAGGAAACAGGAAGGATGAGAGAGAAGGTGAGGGCGAGTTTCTAGATGAAGAAGTTGAGCAGAGGACAGCAAGCAAAGAGAATAGATATAAGCATTTTTGTATGATAAACATTGGATTTCACAATATTAATGAGATAAAGGACAATAAGAACAAACTGAATGCAATTATAGATTACGCGGAAGAGAAAAAGATAGACATACTAGGGTTAGGAGAAACAAATATTAGTAGCAAAAAGAGCTTTTTCGCAACAAAGGACAATAATTCATACGTTAGTATTTGGACAGACTCTGATAAAAATAAGAAGAAAGGGTCCGGACTCGGGGTCCTAATCAAGAAAAGATGGGAGTGCCACATTACATCTCAGATCAGAGACAACCCATACTTTTTAAGCCTGGTATTAGATTTTAGAGGTATTACAATTAATATCATATACATATACGTAGCTCCAAATGACAAGGCAGTGCAAGAAAAAATATTACAAAGGCTTAAATGTAGTATATGCTAGCATAAAAGGAAGCCAAAATGTTATGTAGTACTAGGCGATCTGAATATGAGTACAGAAGTACTTGCAAATGATGACTCTATAAACACAAGCACAAAACATAAAACAAATCTCAAGAGGAGAATAATACAAGTGCTAGAGGAGAGGCAGCTCTTCGACATACAAGAATCTTTACAGGTACCAATGTGATCAAACAGAAGTACAGAAACTTGAATTGATTATATATGGGTCTCAAACCAGTGGAGATACAATATAGTCAGCACCAAAGTAGATGATATGTCAATTTGCACTGAGAGTGATCACAAGCTTATACGAGCAAGCATTCTTACTGGCCTAGAGATGAAAAATGCAAAACCTGCAAACTGAAAACGCTTATACAGAAAAAGAGTAAATATTGACATAAGCGAGGCCTCCAAAAAAAGAGTGAGAGGACTTCCAAAAAGCGCTCAACAAAAAATTAAAAGACTTATGGTGCAAACACAAACCCAAAAACCTTGACGAGGAGTAGGATATTATAAAAAGCTACATGAGAATAGCAGCAAACAAAAGTTTTTCAAAAAGGAAAAAAACTCCTGAGATCCAGCAGATTAGCAAGAAGGACAAAGAAATATGTACACTGATACTAGCAATTAAGGCGTGTACCAAAGGTTACCACAAGAGTAAAAAAGGCACGTTAAGCACAGAGGAAAAGAAGATGGTTCTGGAACAAATTAGATCAATTATAGATACAGGTTTATCAGACGAGCCAGACATTGTAAATATAGAAAATCTTAGAAGCTAGGCCAAAGTTATACACAAAGAGTGGAGGCAAAAAATTAAAAAAGTAGAAGAAATGGTGGCAAGAAACTGTATAGAGGAAAGACATAGCCTAATCGTGTCTAATTAGAGAAGAATGCTAAATAGTCTTTTAGACCATCCAAGCAGGAAAATAAAAATAGACAGGGTAGTTAAGGACATTGAAGAGGAACCTAAACTAATTTATGAGCCGACTGAGATTTTAGAAGAGGTCAGAGATCACTTTGCGAAGCAATTTCACAAGAGAAATATATTAAACCCAAATGAGCTACCCCCGAAGTGGAAAAAGCAATACACCCCAAGGGAGAATATAGATAAGACCTGGTTTGCAGATACTATAAGCGAGGTTAGCGAAGTAGAATGGGACATAGCTTTAGCACAAGCAAAAGCCAAGTTAGCCTCAGGTACATTTGGTATCACCTACCCTCTAATCAAAAGAGTAGGAGGACATGCAAACTCTGTGTTTTGCAAGTTTGCTACAAAGTGTATTAAAAATGGTATAATGCCGAAGAAATAGAAGCTTGGAATCTTATATCCAATATCGAAAACGGGCACTGCAGCACCTGTACATCTAATAAACTGCCACTTAGAAGAAGCAAAAGAGAATAAAAAGGAAATATGGCTAATGTTTTAAGATATGCGGAAAGCATACGACTCTGTAGGGCTTAAGATGCTTAAACTTGCACTAGATAGAATCAAGATTCCAGAGACAATAGTACGTTTTATAATTAATTTATATAAAAACCGGAAAATGGAGATCATTACAAGCATAGGTACAATGGAGAAATTTGTAGCTGGCGATGGAATAGACCAAGGGAAAGTGATATCACCCTTGGTTTGGAGAATTTTTTATGACCCCTTATTAGCTGAGCTACAAGAAAATCATGACCGAGGGTATGAATTGGAGACAAACTGACCTGTTTGCCTTAGTAAAAATACCACTATACGACGGAGTTTACGAGTCCCAGTGATTGTATACGCTGATGATACTACCTACATTGCAGCTAATAAGCAAGAACTAGAAGAGTCACTAGAGATTGCACAGGAGTTCTACAAGCTCAATGACATAGAAATAAACAGTAAAAAGTCTGAGCTTTTAATAGTAGATGGAAAAAAAGAAAAGAATTGTAGATATATAGAAGTAGGGTTTACAAAAGACAAGGTGACAGAAAAAAAGATAACTGAAATAGCAAAATTCTTAGGTGTCTAGCTCTCAAAAAAATCTAATCATTTTCATGCAATCAAAACTGCAAAAAAGGAGATCAACGCAGTAATAAAAGTAATTTGCAAAAAAAGCATAACCTTAGCTCAATTAATATATATCAACAACAGGGTATTGATACTAAGACTTGAATATAGACCCCAGCATTGTATATTATCGAGAGGTTAGTGTGATAGATTGCAAAGCCCTTTAGTAAAGTTGATAAAAAACAAATTAGACCTATTTAGTACAACAGCAAATGCAATTCTAACACACAGGAACATAGCCAGCCTAAAAACAATTTGGCAAAATCAAATGGCCCATCATATAATGGAACTCCGTAAATGCATGCATTGCCAAAATGATATAGACAAAGCAACATGGATCAGAATACAACAAGCACAGATCGACTACAAAAGTACCAAGTGTATTCTGGAATTAAACCTGGCTAGGTTAAAAAAAGTTAGACTTAAACAGAATCTGGCATACAAGATAATAACCGAAGCAAAATGTTTAAACATAAGTATTAGATCAAAAGAGATGGAAAAAAGCCTCAAGCTCACAGAAAAAGGCACAGAGATACTAGACTTTTTTGAGAAAAGACAAATAAAAGTCTATATTCAAGAAAAAGAAATGGAGCTGTATGTTATAGAGCAGCTTCTTGATAATAAAGGTCTTAACCTACTGACATGGAAGCAGGTCAAGAAATGTAAAAGGTTGAAAGCGGCTGGCAAAGTACCATTGTGGTTTGCGAGAATAGAAGATGAAGTTCTGATAGATAAAACTAGTCGAAGAGCTAAAGCCACCTTTCGGACACAATCTATAAACAATCTAAGCCCAAAAATAGCACCAGTTACTATAAGCATGGATAGAAGAAGGAAGAAGTGGATCTTGATAAAGATCAAAGACCAAATAGAGATTGGTAAGATAATAGAGAAAAGAGGCAAAAGAACCTACACGATAGAGCACTGGGTATCAACAAACGATCAGAAGAATGACTTGATTAAACTGAACAAGTGCAAAGGTTGTGAACAGAACAGTAGAGAGAACAAGATCTATAAATTGTGTCAAAAAAGCAAGTCAGTAAAAAACAAGGTGATAGCGATCAATTAGAGACTGCTACAGAAAGACCCTGTGGAACCTCATATATAGAACCTAAGTGTCCTCCTAAGCTGCTTGGCAAATGTACTCCCAAGTAGTCTATCAGGTACAGCTCCAACGCCCTCTATGCATGAAGCTGAAGTAATTAAAGTTGCTATACACTCCTTGGTGGTAGAAATAATCGAACAAGCAATTGAAAGTCCTCAAACAGCAGAGAAGCTAAAGAATATCGCAGCACAGCTAGAAGAGCACAAAAAACTGAATTTTTACACTAATGGTTCACTCACAAATCTAGATAAAAACCCAGATAGAAGAATAATGGGAATTGGCTGGGTAGCTGCAGTTGAAAACAAGAACAAAAAGCATGACCACTTTGTAGCAGAGTTTCAAGGTACAATAAAAGACTGGCCATCCTCAACAAAAGCTAAACTAGGAGCTATTTGGTCAGCCCTGCTAGTTGCCCCCTGCAAAACCTCGATCAGTATTTACACAGATAGTGCAGCTGCAATACAAGCAATACAGTTAAATAATGACAAAATCAAGCAAAGTGAGATAGTCAGAAAGAAGAATCTATGCCTTCTAGAACAAATCTGAAGAACAATAGATCTGAAAGAACTAAAGGTTAGGCTCAACAAAGTCAAAGCACACAGTGGTATACAAGGCAATGAGAAGGCAAATAAGTTGGCAAAAGAAGGAATACGCAGCCAGGTGGTCTTGGATCCCAAGTGGCTCTGGAACAAGCAAGCCATAACTGAACTCAGATGGCAAAAAACAAGGATAGATGATGCAACAAGAGGCTTTATCACTAGACTAACTGAATTTAGTATCGACATAAAATGGAAAAGCCTGAAAAGTATAAACAGATGAGTAACAATAGAGGACAGCAACAAGGCAATTAAATGGAAAGAGATATGGAAAGATATAGGCAGAGATAAAGGTAATATGTGCAGAAGTGCAGAAAAACATAGAGATTGGGTCTTCAAGATCAAGTGCTTGGGCGATCTTCTGCCAACGATGCAAGTTCTACACCAGAGAAAAGTAAATATATATATGGACGATAAATGCAAAATATGCTGTCAAGAAGCTGAAACACAAGAACACCTTGCCGCATGCCCTGAGTACCAACGATTGTGGAAAATTATAAAAATAGAAAAAAGTGAGGTTATTGTTAAGAAAGCAGAAAAAGAAAAAGAAAAGCTCATAACAACAGAAATACAGAAGATCACAGAAATAATTTTCGGAGAAAACCTACAGGAAAGAATTTTAACCAGAATAGAGCTAATGAAAGATTTTATAACAAAAGAGAGAATAGAAAGATTTAGCTCCTTGCTATGCGAAGCAAAAAGGATTTCCAAGATCCTCTAGGCTTTTATTAACAAAATCAAAACACAGTTCCGAAGACACATATGAAATTTCCAGTGTGAATTGATGGCAGAATAGGAGAAGAATAGAG